GGGGGAGGATTCGTCTAACGCCAAACCATATCTATTTAGAGTAGTATTGTATGCATTTTTTTTCCTTTTTCTTTTCACTTTTTAGTTGCATGTGCATATAGAGTGTTCTAGGATCATATAGTTTGTTGTTAGGATTATGCATTTACATATAGCGCTTAGGACATATAAGATCACGTGCATAAAACTATTTTGAGCATTGATGTGATGACTTATGGCATGAGAGAGTAGAAACGTCTTGAAAACATGGTGATCTGTTGAACGTGGCTAAGTTTTGTTGAATTGATTGCTTGACCTTTAGGATTTTCTAGAATGACTTGTGGGATAGAAATCGTTGGTTGGAACCCATCGGACCGATGTTGTCTAGTCAGGTAGAAAAGTTTCTACAAGAACCTTTCCCATGTTTGTTGAAATCGGTAAAGTCTATTATCAAATGCATTCTTATTTCTTTATGAGCAGAAAAAGATAGTGAGCATCTCGACACTCCGCTGTCATTATCTCGTCAACAAATCGTTCGAGGACATGAGTGCATCGATTTGATGGTTCGAGTCTAAGTTGTGGGTCGGGTTATCCAATAAAACAAAATCGAAAAAAATTTGATTAGGAACCCTTCAACTTCAACGTCCCAGGAACCCGAGATGCTAGTAAAAGAAAAAAAAAGAGAAAGTCTAGCTAGATGAAAAAAAAGGAGAGAAAGATAAGAAGAATGGACGTCGAAAGCGTAGACTAGATACGATTAGGTAGAATGACGTAATAGGTTCGAAAAACATGCTTGATAGATTATTGAAGTCCTTAGATTGGTTTTGGGTAGCGGTATAGATCTCATAGCTAGGAAAGACTATCCTTTAGAGAGGGATCATAATAGACAGACTTGGTCATTGTTCCCTGGAAACACTCCAAATGTTCTTGTTTCATTCGCTCTCGATTATCATTTTGAGTTATGTCATTGTCTCGCCCTACTTTCAGATTGTTTTTCACGGAGTATTTGCCCGAGGACGAGCAAAGGTTTAAGTCTGGGGGAGTTTGATAACACGTATTTTGGGTGACGTTTTGATATAGGATGTCTAGCTTATTTCACTCTATTTTACATATTTGTAGGCATTCTAGGGCACATTTGACTTCGACATTGCATGGTTGTGTTCTTTGGTGTTTAAACAGGTTTTTACGCATAAAAGAGCAAAAGGAGTGGAAAACATGGGCACATAACGGATGAAACGGGAACATTTAGAGTGTTTCCAGGGAAAACGTGAAGCTTAGAAAACGTCAGAATTTGCAAGTGCAATAACTTTCACTCTACAAGTCCAAAACATACATTCTCTACATCATTGGAAAGCTCTTCTCAATATCTACACATACACATCAAGATCACCCAAATCCGATATCGGAGCAAGAAGTGATGAGCGAATTCGTGAAGCCCATCGAAACTGCTCAGAGACACGAAATGATCGTTTCGGGATGGACGAAACGATCGGTTCGGCATCGCAGAAATTGAAAAGTTGCTCAGAAAGTTCAACCGATCGGTTTGGATTTGCCGAAACGATCGGTTCGACCCCCAGATTCGGGAAAACTTCCAATTTTGCCCAAACCCGAAGGAAAATAAGAGGGGAAAGCCTCTAGGTCGAAATTCATTCAGACTTTTATCAGAAAACACACACTAGAGCATACAAAAAGGGGCGATTATCAAGAGTCAAGGGATCGGAGTAGAAGACGGAGATTACGAAGCCGGGAAATCGACTAAGCATTCTTC